AAGTCCAATGGACAGATGGATGCCGTCTAAAGGGAGTTCAACTAATCCAATTCAAAATGAATTATACAAACTTCAATTGAAGATGCATATGTGTACGAAAAAGTATATGAAAAAGAAGCAACTGATGCAAGCTCAGTTTATGCAAGAATAATATGAAATTCTAAAAAGGTATGAAGTAAAAAATTCAAGAGCTTGATGGCCTTCCACCGTCTCCTCGAAAGAAAGTAAAAGACAACTCAGCGGGAGATGAGTTTTTCAAGTAGGAGAGTCTGATGTAGGCAAGGGGGGGTCAATCCAAATCATAAATTTTGGGTTTTGACTTCTCTTGGACTTGTTAGCTCATTAATATTTTGAGCTGAAATTTAGCTCATTATGAGCTGTTTTTTAGTTCATTAATTGAAGAACTATTAGCTTCATTCCCTTTTGTCTCTTTGGTTTCTTCTTGTATCTCTTTGATTTCCCCACTTGCCTTTTCTCCTCCCCTTTATCTATTTGTTTTCTTGTGCTGGCTGTTTTCCCGTGCAATGTCCCTTGGGTTCCCGTGGCTGGATGTTTAATTCACTGTTATGGCTGAATTCCCGTGCCTTTGCCCCTTTGGTTCTGTGGCTGGCTACTTGGTTCCGTGCTGGGCTGCTCGGTTCCGCGGTTCTCTGCTTGGTTCCGTGGGATTTTAACTTGGTTCCCGTGAGCTCCTTTCATTGTTTTGCTGTGCCGTTTGGGAATTGTTGAAGTGGTTGTTGACCTTTCTTTTCCTTAATTCTAATTGGTTTATTTGTATTCTTTTGTGTCTTTTCTATTACCTAGAAAAGGGCCCCAAATTTTTGCTTGCATTCATCCTTTTATAAAAGTAAAATTGTATTTTGTTTTAAAAGTCTTATTTTGTCTAATTTGTCGTATTTGTTCTCTTTTGAAGTATTTTGTGTATCTTTTAAGTTATAGTAAGAGTTTCATTTATAATCAAAAATTTGGGGCCCTCTCCCTAATGTTTTATTACATCAATTAATTTCCCGTGCCTTTGCCCCTTTGGTTCTGCCGCTGGCTGCTCGGTTCCGCGGTTCTCTGCTTGGTTCCGTGGATTTGTTGCTTGGTTCCATGGGTTTGCTGCTTGGTTCCGTGACTTTTCTTCTCTGTTTTGTTGAACTATTTGGGGGGCTGATGTTTTATGGCTATTGGTCTTTCATGTCCCCAAATCTAATAGGTTTTAATTAATGTTTTAGGTGGATGTTTGGCTGCCCTCTTTGGTCTTATAAATAGGAGATGTTTTATGTTAAAAAGATAGGTGATAATGATAATTTTTGTATAAAAATCTAAGAGGTTTTTTTGGAAAAGCTTGAGAGCTTTGTCCACTTCTTCTTCTTCCTTCTGGGAAAGCTTGCAAGCTTCTCCTCTTTCGTCTCAGCCTCTTATTCTCTTCTTCTCTCCGCAAGATCGACACCATCAGTATCTTTCTTCTCAAGCAAAGGAAAAGCAACTTTAGGTGTTTGTTGTTTGTCGCTTATTGTAAGGTGTTTGTGTTTGTAAGTATCAAAAGTTGTAAGTGTCATCCTTTTATAAAAGTAAAATTGTATTTTGTTTTAAAAGTCTTATTTTGTCTAATTTGTCGTATTTGTTCTCTTTTGAAGTATTTTGTGTATCTTTTAAGTTATAGGAATAGTTTCATCTGTAATAAAAAATTTGGGGCCCTCTTCCAAATTTTTGATTGCATCAATTAGGTATCAGAGTAAGTTCTTATCCCGGTTTGTCAAGTAAAGTCTTGGTGAGTCATAGTAGTTGTCGTGTAAGTCTGTGGTGTCAAGAAATTTAAGTTTTGTTGAGTCTTTTAAAAATGGAAAATCACAAAAAAATTGATTCGGTCAAAGAAGAAAGCAAGCCAGAAGATTCTGAAGTTCAAAGTCCAATGGACAGATGGATGCCGTCAGAAGGGAGTTCAACTAATCCGATTCAGAATGAATTATACAAACTTCAATTGAAGATGCATATGTGTACGAAAAAATACATGAAAAAGAAGCAACTGTTGCAAGCTCAATTCATACAAGAACGAGATGAAATTCTAAAAAGGTATGAAGTAAAAATTCAAGAGCTTGATGCCCTTCCACCGTCTCCTCGGAAGAAAGTAAAAGACAACTCATCGGGAGATGAGTTTTTCAAGTAGGGGAGTCTGATGTAGGCAGGAGGGTCAATCCAAATCCTAAATTTTGGGTTTTGACTTCTCTTGGACTTGCTAGCTCATTAATATTTTGAGCTGAAATTTAGCTCATTATGAGCTATTTTTTAGTTCATTAATTGAAGAATTATTAGCTTCATTCCCTTTTGTCTCTTTGGTTTCTTCCTGTATCTCTTTGATTTCCCCTACTTGCCTCTTCTCCTCCCCTTTGTCTATTTGTTTTCTTGTGCTGGCTGTTTTCCCGTGCAATGTCCCTTGGGTTTCCGTGGCTGGATGTTTAATTCACTGTTCTAGCTGAATTCCCGTGCCTTTGCCCCTTTGGTTTTGCGGCTGGCTGCTTGGTTCTGTGATGGGCTACTCGGTTCCACGATTCTCTGCTTGGTTACGTGGGATTTCAGCTTGGTTCCCATGAGCTCCTTTCTCTATTTTGCTGTGCCGTTTGGGAATTGTTGAGGTGGCTGTTGACCTTTCTTTTCCTTAATTCTAATTGGCTTATTTGGAAGTGTTATGACTGTTTAGTTCCCTTCTCAAGCCTATATAAAGAAGATGTTTTTGGAAGAAAAAGGGTTGTTAAAAATGCAATTTTTGGAGTAAGAAAACCTGAGGGTTTTTGGAAAAGCTTGAGAGCTTTGTCCACTTCTTCTTCTTCCTTCTATGAAAGCTTGCGAGCTTCTCCTCTTTTGTCTCGGCCTCTTATTCTCTTCTTCTCTCCGCAAGATCAACGCCATCAGTATCTTTCCTCTCGACGGATGAAAAGCAAGTTTAGGTTTTTTTTTTTATATAAGTTTGTTTGAGTCGTTTGTAAGCGTCGTTTGTAAGGAGTCGTTTTATAATATTAAAGTTGTATTTTGTTTTGTGCATGTGTCGTCAGTTTGTCTTATGTAATTTTGTTCTCTTTTGAAGTATTTTGTGTATATTTTAAGTTATAGGAAGAGTTTCTTTTGTTAGCAAAAATTTGGGGCTCTTCCCAAATTTTTGCTTGCATCAATTTGGTATCAAAGCAAGTTTTGTATGTCTTGGTGAGTCATAACAGTTGTAGTGTGAATCTAGGTTTCTTTAGGTTGAGTCTTTCTTTCTTCGAGTCTAAATTTCTTTTTGAGTTTTTATAAAAAAATGGAAAAAGACAAAAATTGTGATCCAGTGGAAAAATGCAAGCCCGATGATCTTGAAGTCCGTCCCTCTTCCGATGGACAGATGGATTCGAACTTAAGCAGATTCAACATATCCGCTTCAAAACGAATTGTACAAACTTCAATATCACATGTTCTTATGTGATGAGAAATACGAGAAAAGAAAGAAATATCTTCAAGACCAATTCGAGAAAGAAAAAGAAGAAATTATGAAGAAATTTGAAGCAAAGATTCGAGAACTTGATGCACCTTCTTCACCTCCTCGGAAGAAAGCTAAAGACAACTCATCGGGAGATGAGTTTTTCATGTATGGGAGTCTGATGTAGGCAGGGGGGGGGGGGGCTCAAAGGGGGGGGGGTCAAAACAAGTTGGGTTTACTCTTGGTGAGTTTTAATATCCTCTACTAGATGTCAGCTCATTAATATCTAGTTGAGTGTCTTAAGCTCATAAATTGAAGATTTATTAGATTCATTCCCCATTTTCCTTTGTCTCTTTAGTTTCTTCTTGTGTCTCTTTAGTTTCCCCACTTGTGTCTTTTCTCCTCCCCTTTGTCTTCTCGTTTTCCTGTGCTGGCTGTTTTCGTGCCTTGCCCCTTGGGTTCCCGAGGCTGGTTGCTTGATTCTTTGTGCTGGCTGTTTTTCGTGACTTGCCCCTTGGGTTCCTGTGGCTGGCTACTTGATTCTCTGTGCTGGCTGATTTTCCCGTGCCTTGACCCTTGGGTTCCCGTGGCTGCTGCTTGGTTCCTGCGGCTTTTCTTCTCTGTTTTGCTGTGCCGTTTGGGGGATGATATGTTATGACTGTTGGTCTTTCATCTAATAGGTTTATTTAATGTTGTTTGGTGGCTGTTGGGTGGGGATTTTGATGGCTGCCTCTTGGTTTTCTATGCAGTTTTCTGCAGCTATTTTTCCCTATATCCTATGCAAATTTTAAGTGTTGTTTTGTTGATTTCTGTGCAGTTTTTGGGGGCTGTTAGTAGTGTCTTTTGGCCTTCCATTTGGTGACTTTTGGCCTTCTATATTTAATAGTTTTAGGTAGCTGTTTGGCTGCCCTTTTCTTCTTTAAATAGGAGGTGTTATGGGATGTAAAAAAAGAATGTTATGATGATATTTTTGGAGCCAAAAACCTGTGAGGTTTTTCTTCTTTCTTCGGAATAGCTTGCGATCTATGTCCTTCACCTCTTCTTATTCTCCTTTAGGATAACTTGCGAGTTATTCCTCTTTCGTCTCGGCTCCTAATTTTCTTCTTCTATCCACAAGTCCGACGTCATTTGTATCCTTCTTCTAAATCCAAGAAAGCAGTTTTAAGAAAGTCATTGTGTCTTTATTTTGTCGTTTGTAAGCATCAAAAGTTTGTAAGTCTTTTATATTAAAGTGAAGTTATTTGTGGTTTATTGTCCATTTTGTGTTCTTTGGTGTAGTTTCTATTATCCTAGGAAGAGTTTCTTTTGTTAGCAAAAATTTGGGCTTGCATCAATTGTGTAAGAATGATAAATAATAAGTAAAATCAGAAAGCAATTAAATCATAGTTTATACACATCAAGTATGCCTTCATAAAACTACAATGAACAAGTGATGACTATAGTATACAGACCTGCATCAAGATAACTGTAAAACAAAAACAAATAGCGCATAAGCTAGTATAAAATTCATATTGAATAAAAAAGGTGAAATAAACGTGATCAAGATTGTGAGGAATAGAGACCACACCTCTCCATCATCATCTTCCCCTTTCTTGAGGCGAGTTGTTCCACCCTCCTTAGTAATGGGTAATTTCATTGCCCCAAAAGGAGTGTCTACATCAATGTTCCCTTTAATCGAATAACCAGTACCCCTTCCCCTTATCATGTCCCATAGAGCAGATCCAAAATCCTTTGGCCTGAAAGCTATTGGAATCTGCATCTTACTGATTCCATTCTTTTCAAACTTCGTCGAGTCGTTAAGCTCAGCACTTCCAATGCTCATCTCAGATAGCCATATTTCGTAGTCCAGCTTATTAAGTGCTAGGTCAAAGTCATTCTTGTTCTCTAATTTCAGGTGAAGAGTTGCAATAGTTTCTTCAAAGGAGAATTTCTCAAAGTGTATCTTTTCAACATCCACGTCAGGCTTGTAAGGCACAGGAATCTCACCTTTCTTTTCCAGAGGAATCGTAAGTCTTCCAATAATGGGTACATCAACTATGAGATCAACCTTGACCCTATATGGGATGATACTTCCAGGCTTGATATCATCATAAGTATTTTTGATATCATCATAAATCAATACTACTGGTATCTTCACAGTCTCTGAACCATGAGCATGGATAGTTCCGGCATCAGGAATCAGTCCAGACACAAGCTTCCTCCCATCACTTTCTATTAAGTAGTTAATGTCTATTAGCGGAATTGGAATAGGATTTGGGTTCGAAACAAGCACATCAAAAACAATTTCTGCCTTATGCAAATTGATAGAAGGAATGTGAACCCCTTTAACATCTGCTGTTGGCTTTCCAAACCCTATTGCCTCTTCAATCTTCTCGCCAATGTCTTGAATGAAATCCTTAACCTTATCAAGGAAGCCACCCTTCTCCTCATTCTTCTCTTCATCCTTGTGCTTCTTCTCCTTAACCTCCCTCTCAACAACCTCTGGGTTGTCAGATGACGCCATAGCTGAGAACTACCGATTAATCACCTGTGTAGAAGCAAGAAATGACAAATAATATTCCAAGGAACCTTCAAAGTATAAAAGAAAATAGAAAGAGATGGTATGTTAATGTTGCTTCCTTGGAATAATGAAGAAATCATAAGATGATGACCCAACATAAAAATAGCTGACAACTATAGTTTATACAAACAAATTGATGTGAATCGACGAGGTATGGCAGGTGTTTGATAAGTAAGTGGAAAAAGAAAACTATAATGAATGGTTCATTTTCAATCTTAGTAAACTAGCAAACGAAGGTGATAGCAAAGTTGTACCAAAAATAAGTTAAGATAGTTATATTAGTTACATAATTAGCTATAATAACTTAATACAATTAGTTGTAATTCTTGCATCTAGTCTACTGTTATTATTTTCAGCGTAGGCAATGTACTCGTTTGAGAACACTATAAATAAAGCAAAAGAGTTGGTAGGGCACCTCAGAGTAACCTTTTCTATTATGTTATGATTCTATTTTTCTCTTATATCTTGAAGACTTCGGATGTTTTTTGAATGTTAAGACAGCTCAAAGTGCCTCAAGATCTCAGGTGCCTATCATTGGTACTCAACTTTGACTTGTATCACCCCTAACACTGATTATGATAGAAAACACTCTGTAGAAAATCAGAAATTCTCTTGCTGAAATTTAATTCCAGCAATTTGTAAAAAATAGAAATTGCAAAGAACTTGGAGGAAAAACCAGAAATTGAACTTTTGATTTAAAGTAGATGAAGAAAAACAGCAAGATACAAATACAATAGATCTTCTATTGGAGAGGAAGATGCATCTCTCCCAAATCTCTAGACACTGCTAGAGCCCGCTCAAGGAAACAAGAACCCTAATTTCAACCAAAAATCAGAGATAAAACTAACCCTAGTCTCCCCCAAGCCTTCTTAATACAATAATTAGATTAAAAAACCCAAAACTGCCCTTACTATTTGAATTTTCTCTCCTAACCCTCCCCCAAATCCCAACTTAATCAAGTTTGTGGACCCCAAATAAATTGGACTGCAAAGAGGAGGGCGAAACCCTCCTGTTCCGCCTTCTATAGACCTGGAACGGTTCTAGTTGAGCCAGCTAGACTGATCTAGGACCCGGTCTGACAGATTATAAATGAAGTCTCTCATCAATTAGCTTCAATCGAGAGTATGGATCAATCAGCACAAATTAGACACAATAGCAGCAACGATGACATGGCATGTCTGATCTCTCATTCAAAACCAATCCACAACTAGCGATGTCCACAATAAATCTCAAAGCAGAAAAAACGGTTAAGCCCTATTTTAATGCCGACAAGATGTGAGGTTGGTTGTTTAAAGCTGATCAGTTTTTCTCTTACTAAAATCTTTCAGAATAGCAATGATTACTATTGCATCTGTGTATGTGAACGGATTGGCACTTGGCTGGTTTCAATGGATGTATCTCAACAAACAATTAAATTCATAGGATTCCTTTATAGAAAGCACACTTTAAGGATTCAATCGGTCATTATACCAATATATTAAAAAATAATTAGCAAAATATTAGCAAACATCGTGAGTACAGGAGTTTTACAATCACTTTGAAAAACTAATCAATTAAATTTCAAGTATTCCACCATCCTTTATCCAAAGTTGTTTTGAATTAGGTTTACAGAATGATATATATTGACAGGTTCGAGCATTACAACCGCAATCATTACAACAAGTCATTCAACTAGCCAAACTCATGGAGGATTGTTTGGTGGATGCAGTTGCTCACACAGTAAATCAAAGAGATTTTCAAGAAAATGTGACTAGACAGTCACAAAGTGTGTTGTCCGCCCACTACAGTAGTTTCAAAATCTATGCTATCTACCAAAACTACGCCGCTGATATAGTATCTAATGGCAACTCAGATAGAGCAATGATGCATTAAGGATCTATGCTTTTATTGTGAATACAAATATCACTGTGGCCATCTTTTTAAGTTCAAAAAATTTTATACTGATGATGGTTACTGATGAACAGGATCAGCCGAAATTGCAAATTGAATGTCAAGGCAATAACATAAAGTTGCTACGGAATTTTCAGAGACAAGTTTTTATGCCTTTTCTGAACATACAAATCTGAGAACCTTAAGAATGCAAGGTAATATCAGCAATAATAGTACTCCTATATTGATTGACAGTGGATCTACCCACAACTTTATTCAAACAAAATTAGCTCTTGTATGGGTGACCAATCACAACATTTAATTTATTTAAACTTTTGTTGGATACTGATGAAATGTTGAAATGTTCTGATCTTTGCCCTCAATTGCAAATTTCTACACAAAGCCACACTTTATTTGTAGACTTATATTTACTTCCAATACAAGGTTTTGATGTTGTTTTGGGAATGCAATGGATCTTGGAGCATGAATAACAAATTACAAATATCTCACTATGGAATTTTCGTGGAAATGTCATACAGTGAAATTACAAGATGATGGAGAACCAAACATTCACAATATTAATTTACAGAAACTCACACGATTTATGTCTACAACTGGCAGTAGCTTGATTCAGCATGAGACCAAATCCAACAATTACAAAAGTGACAATATGATGGCTAAGAGCCATACCAACACAAGTTCAAGAAGTACTGACTATATATCAGTAATTTCTTCAACCATCTTCAAATTTGTCACAACAGTAAGCAGTAAATAATCACATAAATCTATTGCCAGGTACAAAATTCCATTCAGATGAAACCATATCAATACCCTTAGTTAGAAAACAGAGGTTGAAAAGCTATTAATAGAAACGCATGATGCCAGTATTATCCGTGAAAGTACTACCTCATTTTCATCGCCGGTGTTCATAGTATAGAAAAAAATGATGCAATGTTTTTGTGTATACCATAAAACCTTAAATAGGGTAATGGTTTTTTATCACTTTTCAATGTTAACCAGGGATTAATTGATGAATGAGTTACATGGAGCAGCAACTTACACAAAACTAGAATTATTCTCAGGACATCACTAGATAAAGATGGCAAAAGATGTATATAAGGCTGCAGTTAGAACTCATGATGAACATTTTGAGTTCTTACCTATGTCATTTGAATTAACGAATGCCCCATTGAACTTCAAAAGGATAACAGTGTATCCTTCGACATTGCTAGTGGAAAACTATAAAATAGATATCATAATAGAAAAGTATCACCCTCTCATAATGTAATGACTACAGTCTCATTCATCATTAATTTGTTAACATGGCTTCTAGCTAGGACTGGTTTGCAACAAATATAAGGGTGCTAAGATGGTCATTGGAGGAGAGAGAGCGTGTGTGTGTGTGTGTATATAACCGTCATCATGCTCATCTATGTAATACAGTAAAGAAAACTTTTGGCATTCGAAAAGGAGAATTCAAATGTTAACTCAAATAAGATAATTTACTCTAAATGTTCAAGAAAATATTGTGCTTGCCTGTAAAGTGTTGCACAATTTTATTGATTACTATGATGGACATGATTTATATTTCAATATATCTCAATTTGAGATGCAACATTATAGTGAGTTAGATGACGAAGATGTCAAATAATGACTCTAATATACATGCAATAGTTGATGAGAGAATTCAAGAAGATGAAGTGCGAAATACAATTGCCACCAACATGTGCGATGCATGCTTAAGATTTTAAATTTATCAGTTAAAAATTAATTATAATCCTAATATATTATTTTAATCGCACAAAGTGAGTTAAAGGCATTGCTACACTTGATAGTTGCCTCATATTAATTATGCAAAAGAAAAAAAAATAGTCTTTAATTGTATTTTCTTCTTTTATGTTTAAAGGCTCTCACTACTGTGCAGCTGTTCATGATTATCATTAGCTACGATTGTGCAGTCTATTCCCATTTTGTCAGCAAGAATTCTTACTAAATCCTAATTGAGTTAACTACCTTAAACATAAAATAAGTAGCCAAACATCATGCTAGGATTTAACTGAATTTCCCACACAATTTTCAGAATTTAACTATCACAAGATTTAGTAAATCGAGATTTGCAAGATTTACTAAATCCTACTCGCAGCCAAACAGCGCCTTCGTCTACCGAACTTCCTAGTTCTATAAATATCTAAAGGAAGCGTAATGGAGTAAATTTAAAAATCAGAGCACAATTAATAAATTATTTTCTGGTTTGTAGCTCATCTAAGCCTGTAAATCCAGTCAGTCAGCCACATAGTCGACCTCTTCAACCCAAATCGAGACAAATAAATAGAAGAATCTCGATGCGCAAGAACTTAATTATCTTCCGGTTGAAAGAACGTGTAAGCCTATAGATCCATTTATTCAGCCACTTTCCGCCGCTACAGACGAACAATGCCCGAAAATTTCCAAAATCAAACTGTCAGTTCATCAGAGTTACGACGCGGCAATGCAACGATTGAGCTAGGTGCGGAATAAAACAGGAAAAATAGATCTGAGAAGGTACCTGGGGACTGAGAAGTCTCACTGCAGAGAATTAGTTGGGAGGAACGAAGTAAATAAAACTCTCCTATTAACGATGATCGTAACGGGACTGACAAGTGACAACTCTCGGAAGTATCGGTATCGGGGTCGGATCACCGTCAAGTGAATATTGTTTTCAGTACCGCAGCATCTTTTCCTCACACGTGCCGACGCTTTAGACATAATGAGGTGGTGATCTCACTAACGTGAACAGATTCTGAAATCTGCTTAAATGTTTTACAGCTATTTAAGATAATTAGGTAGCCAATAGTCATTTAAAACTATTTACTCGTTTGAGCCCATGAACGTGGCACTTAAAAAAAGATCATCATAATTTATTAATTGTGTAGATTGCACCTAATTTTTAAGTCACTTTAGAGAAAAATTATTAGGTGCAGATATCAGATGTATAGATACGTATGAACTCCAATAAAATATTGACATGTTGTGTACACATAGATATTCAATTAATTTATTTTTTACTTAATAAATTAAATGTGTCTGCATAATTTTAAGTCAAACGCATCAAAAGCGCAGGTCAAGCACACGTAAAGCGCAGGTAAAGCATAGCCAAAGTGCAACAAAAGCGCAGCCCATATGTCCACGGCCGGATCCCCATTAGATTGAGGGATGGCAAATGCCCACCCTCAAAATTCTTTTTTTTTTTATTTTAGATGATATATTTTGGAATATTTTGAGTATTTTGGGTATTTTGCCCCCTCTCAAAAAAAAAAGTCCTAATTTTATCAATCATAAGCTTCTTTGTCCATCCCCCACAAAAAAAATAAATTTTTTTTTTTGCCCATCCTAAAAAAAGAAGCTGGATCTGCCCCTGCATATGTCAAATTTTAATTAGATATCCAAACCTATATCTACGCCCGGTATCCAGACCTAATAATTTCCCCACTTTATGACTCCTCGATGTTTAAGTTTCCCAACAATATTATATATTTTAGAGGATGAAATAGATAAAATTGCCCTGATATTTGCATGATCTTTTAGGCATTTCTAATTTGTTCTTTCTGCTAAGCTAGATATTAAAATCCAAGGTAGTTTCTACTCTTATTCAATCTAAGAACAGTCACCCTGTTTAAATTCATCTATTTGAGAAGCCAAATTTGTCTAATTCAAAAACAAGCAAATTTGATGGAGCTTTTTCTAGTAATGGGTCGTTAAGAAGCTAAATGCAGAAAAGTCCTTAAGCCCATACGTATGCTAAATGTTATTGCCAGTAGATAAATCTTCTAAATATACAGAATTATATCTCCAATTTGATCATCTGCTTGGCTTAGATATCAAACCCAAAATTCAAATGATCTGTAGGTTAGCAAACACTCGATTTGAGTTAGATTGGATTGATAATATGAATATCACTTTGTAGAAATATTAGTTAAAGAGAACTAATGAACAGGGTGATTTGTCATCTACTACATGATTTAGGTTTCGTTTGGGACAGATCTTTTCTTGCTTCATAAAGCTGTTTTCTAGTACAAAAATTAAAAAAATTTGTACTAGAAAGTCGCTTTAAAAAGCAATAAGAAAGTCGTCCCAGATGAAGCCTTAATCACCATAATGAATTTATGAGTCATCCTGTAAAATTTAAATTGATTTGATATTTTTGACTAATTTTAAATTATCAAAAACTAAAATAGCTCGGCAAATCCTCGAATTAAGTCAAATTAAATTCATTTCTTTTATGTGGGTTCGTCAACATGATTGCTCAGTCTAAATTTTAGTGTTTTGTGGTCAAATATATTTTAAAGAGTGAGCCTCTATATACCCAAGGAAAGATATAGAGACTATAGGAAATATGACATATTTCGGTAAACCAATGCGTTTGGGTTGCTAGTTTTTTTTATCGGCCTGTACAACCGCTAGAAATAATAGTAGCACAATTTCTACCATCAAAAAATTTTCCAATACACTATTACCTACATTGTAATAAAATGCCACCAAATTTAAATATTAAGTTATTCTAGCGGTCTAACTATCTGAAATATGCCACTATAAATTTGAATCGAATCCAGACTTTTTTTTTTCTCTTCTTGAACCTGCCCTTTTGTCCTCGTTCATTGTCGAACAAACCTAAACCTATACTTGGACCACTTTTTAAATTCTTTCAAAGTAACTTCTCTCTTCTTCCTTATACTCTTATAGGATAAAACCTATTTTCTATAAATTTTTAAAACTTCACATGTAGATTATTACATAGACTATATAAAGCATGCTTTGTATTATAAATTAATTAACTAATTAAAAATTTAATTGCATTTTTCTTTGGAGGCATAACCCATCATTTATAGTGCAAGGCTATTTAGGATTTCTTAGAAGTCAGCTCCATTGTAATACCATCAAGATGTTTAAAATAATGTAAGTGTTAACTTCCTCTAAAGATTAACTTGTTTCATTAAATTCTACTTTTAATTATATATAGAAGTATATTGAAATATTAGTTTAGTATTTAATAATAGAAAGAATAATATTGTACTAATCATATATTATTTATCGATAAGTAATTCCTTGATAGCATAATATGATATAATAGGCATTTCACTATGTTATTTCTTAATAGATAGAAATTATATAAATAATTACTGTACAGTTTTCCCACTATATCATTCCACTTAGTTCCCTTTCAATGCATGCAGCGGCTGTGATTTAATCCTACGGCCTATGGGCTGCTGCTTGCTGGGGAAAAGTTAGGAAATTAGTAAGGTAAGAAAAGGGGAAGATTTGGGGGAGGAAAAGAAGATGATTTGTGATGTTCTTTGCTGCAAATAACAGCTGCGATACTGCTATTTACTGGAAATGATAGCTGCAAACAGAAATAATCTGAATTGCTAAATTCAGGAAGCTAAATTGGGTTGCTAAAATCAGGTGTTGTTGTTGTAAAGTGTTGAAATCATCTAGAATTGCTAAAATCAGTGAGTAAAGGAAGAGCAAAAGCTAAGAATAGGTAAAGGCATTATTGTTTGTTGATATATTAAGTAGTGGTGGTTGTTGAATTTTGTTAAATTCTATCGCAGTTATTGAAATCAGCCGTTGAAAAATAGTAAGAAGACAAATTACATTGGTTGTGATTGAATTCAGTTAAGAAAGAGAGAGAGAGAGAGCTAAGGGAGGGAGTGGGTTGAATGAAGAGAAACTCCTTTGAGGTAAACTTATTAAGGTTTTCATATAAACTATTATATTTTATTTGAATGCAGAGATTTGAATGACAAATAATTACACTTTAGATTGTATATAAAAGGAAAGCAGGTAGGGGTACTTTAGGAGAATGAATTTACTCGACTTTCATAGAAGATGAGGTGAGATACCAAACAATGCATAGAAAATAATTAAATTTTATATATTTGCAAATGCATATCTATTATATTTATGAAGCAGTGTTTCAATTTATTCAACTTTATTTATATATGCGAATTGTTGATATGATTATGAAAATGGACATAAAAATGAAAGAGGGTGTAAAGTGATTTAAGTCATATATGGAGGATAAGCCCGCACAAGTAAATGTGAAAGACCTGATGAGGTAAGCATACACTCAGTTCTAAAAGTTGGGAATTAAGACCCAACCTTGAATGAGAGAGAGTAGCTTTAATTCTAAAAGTTGAGAATCTAGACCAAACCTTGAATTGAAAAGCTGAAATGGTGCAAAAGCTTATAGTCATCATATGACTTACTTAAAGATGTTGAACTATTAGTAAGATGGAAAGTAATTATGCATTTTTTATGACTAGTATGTAATTTATTTTTGTTTTAAATTAATTATTAATAATATTAATATTATTTCTTATACATTACTTGTATATTTTATAAGGACATAGCTCATTAGCAGTGATTGTACTGCAGGAAAGGGAAATGAGATGGAAGGGCACTAAAGGGGTGACTGCCTTTCTTTTGGACATAGTTTTTGGGTGTACATAGAGGTTCAAGTATAAATTGTACAAAGACTTTTGAGTATGTAAGTAAATTTTAAAAGTTTTTGTAGAGCTCTGTATTTACATTATTTATATTTGATGTTACTTGAGGTACATTACATGCTTCATATTATTGAGTGGAGTTTGATATGTTAAAGTATTATGAGAGTTTAAATAGATTTCTTTCCTTCTTTATTATACTCCAAATTGACCGTTAGAGGGTGAGCCAAGCTAGGGTGTGACACCCATACTATAAAAATTTAAATAACAATTGCTCGTCTATATTATATTTCATAAGACTAGGATCATGGTTCATATATCACCAAAAAATTAGCTTGATTAAGCACGAATCTCAAAGTATATTCATATAAAAAACTTTCAAAATTAAATTTGGAGTCGACCAAACTTCAATTTTGTCAAACTTATTGTCGAACTGAATGTATCGAGAAAATGAACCCAATGACACCAAATTCAACCCGATCCGGGCCCAAATGGGTCCAAATCACAGACCCAAGGCATATTTGGAAGGTTTACAACATAAATTAGATGACCAAATGATTTTTAAATGTAACATGCTTACAGCCAAATTGATCAAATCAACGAGATGAATCTAAGGAGCCTAATATTGCTTAATTGTGACATCGTTTGGACACTCAAATTTTTTATAAATGCTCCACGATTAAAGGGATCAATATGAGTCGTTTATTGAAACACTCCCAACATGCCCTCAATCTTCTCTATATTTACAGAGCATGTCACTCCCAAAAAATTATAAATAGACTATATTCTTCTCATGAAAAGGGGAGGGGAGTGGAGGAAGAAAATAAGAGCTATGAGGCTGAAGTTCCACCCCGGCAGCACCATCAGTAAACTTTCGTCGACGACTGCTACAAGACTTTTACCCATATGTCGACTAACATAAATTGGACTTTTGTCTAACCTCCATCGATCTCCTACTACGGTCCTTCCGACCACAATCACCCATCGACTATAGTATTTACACAACTGAATGCTAAATATTTAAATAGTTTTTTTCTATACACTTAAGTCTTAAGAATACATGAGAGTTTATATCTATACCACTAGCTTGGATAATTGAGATAGACTATACATTACATATGAAGGTACTAGTGAAGTCAAATAATA